CTAACACTGTCCCAGCTAAAACCAGGACATTTGTAACACAAGCCTTTAAGGGGTTTGGTTTTCCTGCACTGAGCTGAAGTAACTGTGTTGGCAAGGCTGTACTGCAGCTTACCCAGAGGACACATCCCAGAGGACACCATCCGGTGCCACAGTGGTCCTGTGCTGCCACTGCTCAGGGCACCTGTGCTAGTAAGGAGACAAGTAGACACAACACGCTCAGGAGAGCGTAGGAGGGGAACCACAGCTCTGCTGTGGGAGAAGGTGGAAAAAAGGCCCCAAGGTCCTGTCCATCTGACCTGGAGAGAATGATGCCACAGCCATCACTTCTGCCTCTTGCTTGCCATTGGCTTCGTTTAGGACTAATTTGGCATTGTCTCACTTGACTGTATCCCCTCTACAAAATCCCTCTGATCTTGATTTTCCCAGAATTGGGTTTCTTTATCTTTCATGCAGGGAGTTGTAGAGGACATAGTTAACTCTTTACTATCTTGTACACAATAAACTATATCTTAGCCTTGATAATTTGAGGAATAAAGACCAAACCTAGTTTGTTAAACAGAGTTTATTTTCAGCTCAGATACGCACTTCTTATGAGCCTTTATGCAGATCACTTGATTTCGTTGCTCTTAACCATATAAGAGCATATGACTTAAAAATATCAGAAAAGTACTTTTGAGGGTTTTTGCAAGAAGCTCCTGAGGGACGGTTGAATGTCACTGAAAGTTGAAAGTTCAGTATTTGGAAACAGAACAAAGCCAATTAATTTTACTGTACTCTTTTAATTTGGCTAAAACCTTCTGCAACTGGTTGTAGCTTGGATGGAAGCCAGGAGAGAATTTGTCCTTATAATGTCAAAGGGAGCCCAATTCTCCATGTCTTCCCTCCCAGCTCTACATCCCTCTCCTCCACTCACCTCCAGTCCATCTCCTTCTACTTTAAACACGATTGAGTAATTTGCCTCTGACCTAGCTCCAGCCTCCTGTCCTCATACAAAAATTAATTTTTGGCTAACCTGCTTGGAAACTACAAACCAGTTCTGAAACAAAAGGTGCTTTTTCTCCTCTCCTTGATGACTCTATAAATCATTGTGACTACAAATAACTGTTTATTTTACTTACTAATCCCTTATCAGGTTTTCCTTTTTCTCAAGGACATTAAAGCATACCATAAGGAAAACACTCCTTTTTAGTATACTCTTGGTAGACTACACACCTGTAGTAACTCAGCTACCGTGTTAAGTCATAAAGCATATGACATAGCTGTTGTTTTTCTTGACTTCTTCACAGCAGCCGTAAACTTTCTACGATCTCTACTAGAGCCAGATCCTGCAAAGAGACCAAACATCCAGCAGGCGCTTGCAAACCGATGGCTTAATGAGAATTACCCTGGGAGAGCACCACCGAATGTCACATATCCAAACAGGTACTGTGCGAAAGAGTGGAGAAAACCTGCCAGGGTGTATATACATTAAGACATAAATTACTCTGGCTTTGGAATTTCATTCCCTCTGTGATGGCATCCCGCCACATTTTCTAGGATTGCTTTTGTGACTCCGTCCTAAAGGTTGTTAGGATTGGCCATTGAATATGTGTTTCTTAAAATGGTCAAAAACGATACCTTCCATTAGAAGCTGGCATACAATGCATTATTTGCAGGCTGATCTGGAGTGGAGATCGTATGATTAATTGACTCCAGACTTTGGAATGTATATGAGTGACAGCTAGTTCATCAGTTCTGATCTTCTCCTTGTTTGTCAGTAAAAGCCAAGCTACTTTTCCAGTAGAGGCTACGCCTGTTTGTGATACATACGTGAGGTTCTGTGGATTAGGTAAATACACAAACTGTGGTGAGAAAGGTCAGAGTTAAATGATCTTGCTTTGTTGGTTGTTGATCTTGAATACCTGTGCAATGCCGAATGCATGACTAAATGCAAACAGAGAACAAATCTCATGGCCAGTCAAACATCTGTCTAGCGAAAAAGAAAGATAGATACTTGTGGTCCACTTTGGTTAGAAATAATCTTGCTGGACTTTAAGTATCCGCAGTTTGGAGTCGACACATGAGCCAGCCAGCCTGGGCTTTTGTTACAGTCAATGGAGAGAAATAAGGGCACTTTTTCCAGAATGATTCAACTGACTTCTTTTTGATACTACAATAGGATGACTTTGTGCCCAGGAGATCTGAGTTCCTCTCCAGTGACTGTAAATGGAGCCTCAGGCAGCTCACTTAGAAATATATGTCTACATTTGATCAGACAAAACCTCCTTTCTGTATCAAAGCCCTCCAGCTGTGTCTCATATACAATTTAGGACCTGCAGAGGATTCCCTGAAGGAGTTACTAGTTTGCAGGCCAAGATCCTAAGTAACACTGAGGCAAAGACAGCAACTTAAAGTGTAATTTTAGTGCTTAAAATTTAATAGTCCCCCAAAATTTCTGTCCTGACTTGCTAAGAGGAGAGTCTCTAAGTGAAGATCCTAACTTCCCCTGTGCAGTTCACTCAGATGTCGGATACCAGATGTAGCATATGCCTACAGGCATGACAATTTGCTTTTGTCTGAATGTCTGAACCACTGTCCTCCACCCAAAAACAATTTGATATTCACCAACCAGGCCATCTTGTTGTGTCGGTGCCCTGAAGGACTCAGTCCCATAGGCATGCTCAAGCCGTGCATACAGCCAGCCTTCAGCATTGAGCCCAGGTCACAGCTTTGCTGGTCAGAGTGCCTCCCACCTGTTTTTCCCTCTGCTCCACTGCTAACCAGATGAACAGGTTATGTTTCAGAAGCGTGGGTCCAACCCCTGTGGAGTTAAGGCACCTGCAGCACCCCTCCTGCTGCTGAGGCAGGTGATGAGTGCTGCCACCACCTGATCATGCTGAGACCTGGGCACGAGAAATCAGTCTGAGCCCTAAATCTTGGGTCAGCCTTTAAGAATTTAGTGTCTTAACTTTTAAAGTACTGCATCGTGGAGAATCACTGTGACTGTGCCTTTCTTTGACCTAAGGAGAATAACAGTTCTCCTGCTCTCAAAATATGGTTGGATAGACGTTGAGCAGCTTGGATGCCTGGAGGCATCACTAGAGCCATCCACTGAAACGGGAGGGCAAATGTGAGGCCAGCTGCCTGCAATCGCCAGACCTGCGTGGACAGAATATAAAGATGGCCCCTATGAACAATTGTTTTGCAAGGAATAAAAGTGAGAACAGGCAGACCATTGTCTCAACATTAGTGCCCCAAATTTAAGGGCTGTTGACTTAATTTGCGTCGTATGCTGTCCAACAAAAGGAAATCTGAGCTTCCATGGTGCACTGGACTGTACTGAAGTATGGTACATATGAACGTTGTATGGTAAAGAAAGGGGAAACAAGTGTAAACTGAATGAGTCATTAAGCTAATGAAATCACTGTCATAATGAGTCTAATCAATCTACTAAACGTGGCATCTGTTAAGTGAATGTAAGTGTAACTGAGAGCTGTATGGGTAATTCGATCCTGTTACTGTGCGCGTCTTATCTGCAGAAAAGAGGAAGAAGAGAAAGAAAACGTGGCTTGAATGTGGTTTCACAGTTCTTTTGCATTTGTAGGTACGTTTTCATGCCTCTGTTTTTGGCTTCTCAGCTTGCAGTTGTCAGGCTTTAGTCAGGTTGTGGGAAGTGTCCATTCTAGAGTCTGCTCATTGCTGCAGTTAGGGAGGTAGCTTACAAAAGAGGCCGGCCTCTGTTGGATTAGCATAGCTGTGCAATGCTTTTTATTTATGGAGCACTCGTTAACCATTCCTTCCTAAAGGCAAGCAAATCAAATGGAAGAACAGAAGTAAATGCAATGCCGAACTATAGCAAGTCCCTATGTTTGCTCATGCGTATATGTGTATATGGTGACGGTAATAATCCTTTCCTACTATAAGCACCCTTAAAGGGAACATCGTGTGGGATGCTATGCTTTGCTATTGAAAAAAAAAAATCAGATATTTTTTTCTTTCTTTCTCATTGCACTGCTTTTCTCATCATTTGGTCTGAAAACAAAAGAAAAGCAGATACTCCTTCTATCCAAACCCAGGTTTGATATGAAGCTGTAAAGGATAAAAGCCATGCAGATCCATTCTTTCACTTCATTTTTAGATAGTATTCCTTTAGTTTAATTAATTTATGCCCCAAGCTTGACCTACCTGGAAATTGTCATATGGGAGCCTTACAGGGAACATAATCTATGAAGTTTGTAGTATTTAAAGACATGGCTAGACTCCTTTTGAGCTTGCCTTAGAAGGGACCACTACAGTCAGCTTCAACAGAGTTTCTCCAAGTTTTTGTTAGTGTGCAGATGTGAGTAAGATGTGTCGAAATAGTTCTGAAAAATCCACTACTGAATTTGCAAGGATTCACTTCCTCTCTTCATCAGACTTTTTATGACACAAATAGGAAGCTATGTTACGTTCTTGCAGTGCTCTTCCACCATAACACCCATTGTTCCCAAGACAGGAGCATGGTAGGAAAGGGGAGAGCATGGAGATAAGGTGGAAGGATGGCAGAAACTTCATTTTTAGGAGGATATTCTCCCAGGCTTTTATGAGCTTATTTTTATTACAGAAATTCCCTGAAGGCAAGCAAAAATTTTCCAGAATTGCTTGAATTTCTTTTGTTGTCCAGATGCTTTAACATGAAATGGCCAAGAGAAACTTTGCTTTTAAACTTGAAAAAATCCCAACCCCAAGCATTCCTTAGCTGCAGAATGAATGTTAATAAGCACACCAAATAAAAGAAAAAAAGCTAACTGAAATTTTCCAGACTCTGTTTTACATCTTGTCTAAGTCCTCTATGTCAGACTCAGACTGCTGTCCAGGCTTTCCTCACATCACAGGTGCACAAGACAAGGGGACAGCAGGACAGGAGTGGGAAAGGTGGAGAACGGTCCTTTTGAAGGGGGAAGGCAGGTTGTAAAAAAAGCCCACAACCTAAGCTCCCCTAAGTCACCTCAGCCAGATATTAGGCTTGATTTTAGGAGCAAGGAATATCCTTTAGAAACCAAATGAAACACGACAGTTCTTTGGAGATGGGTGGGAGTTGACGGGCACATCTGGGAAGCTGGCCAGTGCTTTTAGAGGTCTAAATACAAGCAGAGTTCTTTGGAAAATCTGTTTTTAACTTAGACTGAGAAGCTGCTTTGCCATTCCCACAAGGCTGCTGTGCTCCATTTCTCGCCTTGGCCGAGTCTGTTACAGACTTTACGAGAGAGCACATATATAACTGTGTGTCGTACTTGTGCTTTTAACTGGCATGAGTATGGCAGTAGTTTTACCGGTTGGAGAGCTGCTGTAATAATCCTCCTTGTGCATCCCCTTTCTCCGGGGTGAAATTCTCTAGCTACTTAGTGTGTGAACATCGTGCAACAGGTAAGGGGTGAAGCTGAACGCTGTGGTGTTTGATTATAAGAAAAGGGTCATTTCAGAAAGCAAAATGTAGCTACCTGAGCTGGATTTTACCTCGTTTCCTTCAAAACCAGCTGGATGATCCTGACAGTCTTCACCGATCAGTGTAACAAATGACAGCATCCTGAGCATCATGGTGCCATTTCAGGTCAGGGTAGGACATGAGGTCCCTCTGACTGGGCTGGAAAAGTGCTGTTCATTCAGCTATCACGACTTCCTGTGGTGCCTGCGATTCCCGAATAGCCTGTCCTTCTCGTACCTGCTCACGAGAGAAGAGAGTGAACCACACCTGCGTTACTGAGCCTTTCAGGCCTCTTCTTCATGCTCTGCCCCATGTCCTGTGGCTGGCAAGGCTCTGTTGCTGGGAGGACAGTATGAACGGTGTGCTCTGCCTCTCTCTCTGTGCAGGATTCACCTTGAGGACCTCAGCCAAAGTGTGCTGCTCCATATGACCGAGAAGCTCGGCTACAAGAACAGCGACGTCATCAACACTGTGCTCTCAAACAGGGCAAGTCACACGCTGGCCATCTATTTTCTACTTAATAAGAAGCTGGAGCGCTACTTGGCAAGCCTTAGGGTAAGTACTGCTTGATGCTGATTCTCTGGATGAGTGGGTGAGGAGAGTAAAAAAAGTGCTAAAAGTTTCCCTGCTTGCTGGAATTTGATCTTAAGGCTTTACCTAGGTTGTGTTTTTTTCCTAATTTTGTAACAGTAACCATGAAGGGGCAGTATTCCCTGTGAACTAATAATATTATTTCAGATAAGAATTCCCTAGGTTGCAGAGGTAATTGCTGAAAGGCTTTATGTCTCAGGAATCCCTCTTTCCATAGGAGATTCCCTCTGGCTAGGCAGTTACCCTATAGAAAGCAAACTGTTGCCATGCAGAGCATTACTTGTGACTTGTGGTGTGCTGGGTCCGTATGTTGAGATAATTCTGCCGCTTGAAATATCAATAACACAGTGTAATTTTATTCAGGAAAGCAAGAGGAGGCATAAGAGCTATTAAGATTTCATTTAGTTTTAAAGTGAAAACTTAGCTGAAAGTTCTACATGAAAAATAACATGAATATAAAGTCTCCTAATCTCCTGACAACCTTCCTGGCCCCCGAATATGTCTTGGAGGTCCGAAACACTGCTGATGGGTTTGCACAGCAGCTTTCTCTGGGGCAGAAACCTGCTGCCACATGTCATCCTTCATCCTGGGGAGCTGAGCTCTCAGGCTGTGTTTTGCGTGGTACTTGCTGGAATGCTAGAATGGGCACAGTGCACAAAGACAACCTGCACGCTCTCTTCCCTTGGCCTCTCCACACAACTACCAGTGGTCTGGCAAGGAGTCTTAACTAGGTGAGAATCTGTAGGCTCCTACATGACTTCTCAGGCAGGAGGGTGGGTTGCATGGAGTTCTCTTCTTAATGTGTTTGCTTCTTAGAGAAATTATCCCCAACGGCCTTCCGATCTGACAACAGCTTCTTAGTTTTTTTCTTTTCTCAGTTCTTTTAGCAAGCTTGATGCCATTAAAGATATTTAAAACATACTGGACCAAATTTACCATCTCTGTAAGTTGAGGCACCTCTATTGAATGCCAAGAGTGAATACAGCCCATTAAGCAGTAATTTAATGTTAGTTTTCTCTAATTATCTTACATACTTTACTTTTCTGTGCTTTTCTCTCCACAGAAGTCTGAAGGCCAGGACATCATTTGCCACAAGAACCAACTATACCAGATAGAAAAATACAAGGCAAATAAAGACTCCTATGAGGTAAAGCTCATTAAAGCTCATGAAGGTACTTTGAAAGCAGATTGAATTTGAGCATCCTTGGTGACTGTGATTAAGGAGGTGGCTTTCTGGAGATGGCTTTCTGGACCTGTGGAGACAAAAAATCTTGCCTGTGCAAGACAAATAATTCCCTCAATTTCTTTTCGAAGGAACAAATAGCAACTCCCTAGAGTGGAAGTGTAAAGGTGACTTTCAGCTTTCATGAAGAAAATAAAAGTTTTAAATGCTCTTTTTAGCAAAATAATGCAAACTTCTTTAGGAGACTCCATAATTTCATTCTGGGGTGTAAGTTGCTGGTGTTGTAAGACGACTATAACTGTGTTACCTTGAGTTTCAAGACTTGGTGGTGTAGGGCAGAGAGCTGAGTGACAGCCAGGGAGACCCTCCATGGTAACCTGGTGTTCCTGGTGTCCTGGGCCAACCCTGACTTGACTGCCAGAAACGCAACCGTGTTAGCACAAAACTCTGCCAAGGTTAGTGTTTTCTACTTCTTGGCAGAAGCAATGCAGAACTAGCCCACTGCATCGTGAGGGACTTCCCTTGGCCAAAGAAAAGATTTAACCAGGTTACCTTTTGCTCTGTCAGTCTCCAGTCTTTTTGCCTGCAAACAGGGGAGGTAGTTTGTATTAAAAGAATATATATCAGATAATAGGAGTCTTCTCATGGCTGGATTTTTCTTCCCTGGATGTTTCTTTGCCAATCACTAAAATTACAAGAGGAATATGAGCTGTGCAAGTCTTGCCTACCAACACAAAGAGCAGTGTTCTTGAAGAGTCTACCTGCTTCAAAAGCTGCTCTTCAGTGCCAGATTAGTGATCTAATTGCAGGGGCAGATTTGTATCATGGCTGGTTTTGTTATTTTAAAGACTGCTTGCGAGACAAGTTGAACTGCAAGCCAGATGGAAATATGAGGGCAAAATACTTATCGGTCTTTTCTTACATAAATCAAAAACCACCTTACTTAAAATGTATCATCAGTGGGTAGACTCAATGAATATAATATTTCAAAATGCTCTTTGACAGCTTACTTCAAGCTGTTGTAAGGCAACCGTCCCCTGGAAACACAGGCAGGTACGTGAAGGTGAACACTCCAGGTGTCACATGGTGCATCCTGATGCCAGCATCTGGGCCGGCTTCCTCCAGCTGCTGGCGTCACTTCTCTGTGCAGTGACGGAGAGTCATGGATGGCTTTGCTCGCCATCCAGGCATTAGCTTACAGCTTCTGCATACCTACCCCGTGCAGGGGAGTCTACGGCAAGGCCTGCCTGTGCACCTGTGCATGGAGCTGAGAGAGAAATGCATGGCTTGGTTTGGTGGTGGTCCTGAAATCTCCATGCCCCTAGAGGGGAACTGATGTTTGGCTTCCCTAAGAATAGTTGAAAGCTAATGGTAGCATCGCTGTATGACCCCAGTTTGGTTTGTAGGCATGTTTAGGGGTAAAGGCTCCCTCCAAAGTCTCTCCCGCACTCGGAGTTAGTCCCAGTGTAGCTATTTAGAGGATGAGGGGGTGTCATTTCTTTCTTGAAATAGTTATCTTAATGCAATCACAGTGCAGACACTGCGATAATAATACAGTATGTTCTCTTTCTGCTTGGGCATAAGCTGAGTATAAAGCGTGTTTTATATTGCTTTAGCTGTATTTACACAAGGGGGTTGTGTTACCCTTACCGTACCAGGACAGTTGAAGCAGCACAGGTGGGTGAATACAGACCCTGGGATGCTACTGCCATTTGTAACTATGGTAGACATCTCTCCTAAAATGCCTTCATGTGGATGGGAACACAGGCCTGCTAGTGTCTGGCTCATGCCGCTGGGATCAGTGGGTAGGGATTTTGTAAACTCAAGCAGGTTCATGAGCTGCAGATAGAGTCCCCTTATCACCTCCCATTTCCAGAGGGAGACTGGGAGGCACTGGTCCCTAGGCAGACACTGCACGGATAGCATAGCTGTGCGTTGCCATGGGAATAGCAGGGAGAGAGCTGGTCACCTTCAGCTTCAGCAGCCGACTGAATTTCTTCTGCCTCACTCCAGCGATGTGAAATAAAGACGTTGGCTCGGGCAGGGGGCTGCGTGCCAGCAGCACCACCTGATGCTGAGGCAGGCAGCAGGGCACATGGGCAGTGGTCATGCCTAGCCCTTCTTCTCCATTAGGTTTCCTAACCTGGGTTGGTGGGATCAGTGTGCCAAGGCTGAGGGTGCTGGGAGCTGCTGTCGGTGCTAAGTAACCAGGCTGTTCAGCAGGCTGATTTCATTTTAGTGCTCAGGGTGGATAGGTAGTGCAGGGAGGAGGGAGGCAGCAGCCTGTTTCTCTCTCTCCATCTCTCTCTTTTTGTTGTCGAAGCCTCAGGCAATGAGTGGTGGTCCCTCCAGTGAATCCAGGGGACCAGCGCTGGGGATACCTGCCTCCACAGGGTAGCTAGTAGGCTTGAACTTGAGGAATTTGCATTTTTTAAGGACTTATGTCACTGTCCTATCACCGTTTCAGACATGGCCAAGGCAAATAACCTTTATCTTCCTTTCAAATCCACTGCTGGGACTAAGAGTTGGTTTTCGGGTCGAGGTCAGGACAGGAAATAGCAGAGGATGATGTAATGCCAAACCTATTCAACTATAACATACCGGTACAACTCCTGCATTGTGTGACAGCATGCCATTACATGGCTCTGCACGGTACAGCGAAGAGCGAACTTTTACAACTCCCTGAAGGAAATCTTCCTTTCCTTTTAACATGTAATATTATGTGGCACATTGAGAGTTTAGGGTTTTGGTCATTTCCCTTCTCACAATCATCATCTAAGAGAAACAATGTTAGTAAGTTTTAAAAATACTTATAAAACTATTTGCAATGTTCATCCAGGGTAAATTAATTAATTGCTAACACCAGATATGTGAATTTTCTTTTTCACGGGTGCTTTAATTGTAAGGTATGACTGTGTTACTGCTGCTTAGAAAACATAGCAGCAGCGTGAAGGCAAAGTCAGGAGCAGTTGGCAGGTGAGGAGCTGCAGCTTGACTCTTGCACCATTAGGCTAAAAATACTGCAGGAGTGAAATGTCCTGCATTCTGACAGATGCTGCAGCAACCGACATGCAAATTCTTTCCTCACCTATCCAAAATAGCAGAAAGCCGCTAACAATCTTGATCGGCTCCTTTAGGCTTAATATAGTCACCACTTGGTCTCATCCTCACAAGTACTTTTAAAAAAAGATACTCGCTAGAGCCCAGTCTCTGCTGAACTTGGCAGCAGAGTTTCAGATCCTTGAGAGGATGAATAGTGTGGCGGGCTCAAAACTAACTGTACAGCTCCCCCCAAGTGTTGTTGCAGAGTGTTATTCACACTATTCACATTATTATTATTATTGTTGTTGTTGTTGTTATTACTTCATCATTGTCAGTAGTGACTGTGCTCACCAAGATAGTGCCTGGGACCAATCAGACATTGCATTGTTCCAAGCACAGCAAAGGCAGGGAGGAATAAATGCTCGATGCCGGAGGTATTTACAGCCTCTAAAGGCAAGGGGAAAGACATCAGGTGGACAAAGAGATATCAACCAAGCAAACTGATGACGGCTCCATAATGCATTGGCTTGTTTCTGTGGAAGGGTTAGCCAGCTTTAGTTAGCTACAGGGGAAGAAATTGGAGGGGATAAGGGACAGATGGAGAGAAGACTGGGGACAAAAAATGTGTGTGCGAAGGTGGAGAGATAGAGATGGTGAGGAGCTCAGAATTGGTCTCTGGTTCTCGCTTTCCCAAGTCACCTAACCACTTGTGTCATAAAACTAAAAACCCTAGTTCATGATTCACTGAAGCTCTTCCTTCTGACTCTGTAACTTCTGAAAATTCAAAGGTTAATGAGCCCAGCGGTGCCCAGACACCCTCTGTGTGGGAGGCTGGACTCTCTCTCAGCTGGGAATGATCATAATGAGTGCAATCCGGTTATTTTCCTTTTACATGTCTTAATATTATTATTTTCAGAGCTGTGTAGTGGCCCAAGAGAACCAGAGTTGTCTTCTGCTTCTGTTTGCCTCTCTCACATGTATGCACGTTACTTTGCATTTGAGGGTTTTTATAGGCTTCATGTCAATGAACTTTCAACAGAACATCATCAGGAGAGCCAGCCCTTTGGCAGCATAGTTATCAGACAAAATACAGGCCTTGGCACATAATTGGGTGAAGGAACTTCCCTGCATTTTTTAAAAAAGACTTGTACTTACAGTGGCTTTCCAATAAGACACAGCGAAACATGTTGTTTAAATGAGAATTACAACCACACAAAGAATGTCACTTACATGCCCCTCTAAAGGAACAACCCCAAAGCAACTGAAACAAAAGCCCCACTTCTCTGAGATTAACATCTAAAACCAGACCACACAGCTTTGTCCCAAGAAGGTGAGAGATTCTTGGAGTCTTTGGCGGAGAGCAAAATATGGGCCACAAATCTGATGCCTGATTTTTAGAAGTGAAATAAGACTTTTGGCTCCCCTGAAATCAGTGGCAGGTAAAGAGCGTTACGCAGCTTGCACAGTCTAGGGATTTGTGTTGAAAAAAGATACCATGAATTTTCACTGTAAAACTGTGCTTTAAAATTGGATTCCTCTTCAGATCCCACTCCCAGGTTCTTTTCTTCCTGTGTCATCACTGGAGATCAAACCTATCTTTTAGGATGTATGTGCTTGCAATCCCACCTTCAGCTGCCTTCCCCATCATGAAAAGGAGTTAGGCTCAGTGAAGGGCTGAGTTGGTAATTTTCTCCCCCTCCATGTCTTGGTGCAGTTGCAGAGATGCTGTAAAAGCAAGGGCCATATTCCTTTCAATCTTATTTGGGCAGAAGATAAATGACTTAAAGAGTTTAAACCTCTTTAAAGCTTTGCAGCTCACTTTTTCAAATGTCAGAGGAAGTGCAATAAAGAGAAATCAAAGACCTTTTTTCGGTGGTTAAATAGGGAGGCAGATTTCAGGTACGGAGGAGCACAAGCCTCTATCTACTTGCTCCAACAAAGTCTCCTAGAAGAGAAAGCTTTCCTTTTCCTTTAATTTTCCAAAACCAACTTTCACACTGCATGAGTGTCAGAGCAGATGGGAGCCATGAAATCAATGTCAAACAGATCAGAGGAAAATGAGACATGGAAAATTTAGTTACTTTGAGTAGCCAGAATAAGTTCCTTGTAAATGTATAGTTTTTAATTCAGTTTTGGTAAGTGGTGTGCTTAGAAGTCTGAGGGTCATTTAAACTTCCCTTAAGTAAACCAAATTGTTCTTGTTTGTTTTACAACTTAAAGGACAAAAAACTCAAAGAACAAGAAAAGAAAGGGGAGATTCTTCACCGTCAGCTCCCAAAGAAAACTGAGAAAAGTCCAGTTTCATATAGACAGCCTTCTTCCTGTCTTATCTCACAGATACAGAACACCAAGGCTCTGCTGAAGGACCGGAAAGTCAACAAGGCTGGAGGTCCGGAGAAAGGTCAGTGGGAGAAATACCAGTGGTGTGTCCCTGTGCGCGTGTGCACGCGTGGGCATGCACAGTATTAACACAAGTGTCTTATGTGTTGTGTGTTTGTTAGTAAATAGTCATGGGCTTGCATTCACTGTCTGCTCTGGAGGTGGTGTGTGAAAGAGGACTGGATAACCTAGTCAAACATTGAATGAAGCATCCTGAGAAAACCATGACGATGTTCAGCAGTCATGAGTGCTCGTTTTTACTTCTCTTTTTTGTTTGACAGAATTCCTGCAGTGTTTTAAAAAAAGCCTTCT